CAAATGAAGTGCTCTTTTGAATGCTGTGCTGGCTGCCTTGCAAATCAGACAGCAGACACAAAGCTCTCTCGGCATATGCCGGTGGATTAATTCGTCCAAGTGCCGCTTCCTCGTTTCCTGTCATTTTCGAAATGAAGGGGAGTGGAGGAGGGGGGAAGGGAACAGGACACTGGAATTTTAATTGCTTGACCGCAATTTTTAATTTGCCCTGCACAAAGAGACCGTGGATTGTTAATTAGTTGTGATGATTAGAACCTCAGCCTGGTATAGTTTGTGGGATCAACAATGTGAGTTTTAGACTTCATTTTAACTGGGAAACTAGATCAGAAGAAAATCAAGGAAATACCGGACTGTAACTAACGACAAGCTATGAAGAGAGTTTTAGAGGGTAGCCATTGGACTTCAGCAGAAGAGCTTGAATAGAGTTCAGAAGCACTTTAGAGGTCAATGAGATTTTCAGGGTAAGAACAAAAGAGAATGCAGTGTTGGATCAGGCCACTGGCCCGTCCTGTCCAACACTCTGTCACACAGTGGCCAAAAATACCAGGTGCCATCAGGAAGTCCAGCAGAGGGGCCAGGACACTAGAAGCTTTTAAGAGTCAAAACTCCCTTCACCGCATATCTGCTGAAGGGAGCTTTGTCTCTTGACAATTTATACCCCAAAAATGTTTTGGTTTCTAAGGTACTTCTGGCCTCGATTCTAGCTGTACAAACTGTGCATTAAGAATAGATGGTCCCATGTTTAGATGGTCTAAGATTTTAATATTTTTATTGTTTTATATGTATCGGCCTGTCGGCCGTCTCCTGTAAGCCGCCCAGAGCCTGTTTACAGGGTGGGCGGGGTATAAATGTAAATATAATTAAATAAATGTTGGAGATGCACCAAAGACTGAAAAAGCATGAATGTTCCTTGATGTTGTCAAAATGTTTGGGATTTAGAAAATCTCCTCTGTGGTTAAATAAATAAAGTTTAGTGAAGTTCTTGAAAGCCAGGCGAGACACAGCATGTAGCTTCTTGAAGGAAACAATAAGTTAGTGACCAGGAAGTTGTAAGGTAGCCGGCAGTCCATTTGTAATGCAGATTTTGATGTTTTTAAACAGATCGGGACTCCAGAACCAAGCATAGACTTTTACCTCCTTCTTAGCCTTGAATCTTTATGTTTATAAATCTTTTGCGGGCGTATAGAAAATTATCACACCAGAGAGAAAACTGTACACGAGTCTGGGATCATGGTATCCTGATTGGTTAACCACAGATAGGCACCACAATATAATATGATACAATAAGTACAATACTTGCTGGCATCTTATTTTATTGTGTTTATTGAGTGGTTGCTTTGTGCTAGCTACCAGGGCCTTGCAGTGGGGAAGGTTCCATCTACAAGGAGGGATGTAGTGCCTTCTATTATCCAAGATGGTACATTCAACCTTCAAATCAGTCTGTTCCAGAGAGTGTGGCCAGCTTGCTCTGGGATAGCTTTTGGTTTAAGTTTCATTGAAAAGATTTGTTTTCCAACCCACAGGCCTTTCCTGATAATGTCTCCTTACAATTAGCTCACAAAGGCTTCTTGAAACTGTCTGGCCGCTTGTAGTGATGTCACTCCTTGAACAGTATAGTAACTAACGTCTTGGCAGAGAGAAACGGAACAATCTTTATGCTTGTCACAATGCCTGGGAATTGCATTCACATCTGAATGTTCCTGCCTGATGTTTAGATTTTTTTTTGATCCAAATCTCTCATGATGGCTTCCATTCCCCCTCTTTCTCTAATTTTCTGCATTTAAAAAAGCCTAGTGCAAGTTGTTTTATAAGCCATTTAGCTTTGTGAGGCCAGAAGCGTGTCTTTATTTTTTGCAGTTTAAAAAAACAACAGAAAACCTGCCAGCTTTTTTAACCTGTTAGAAGATAAATTCTTGCTTGTTAGAATGGCTGCTTAAATGGCCAACAATTCTGAAACAGTTAATGAGCCCAGTAAAATACTTTTCTGTGTGCATGTACACTGCAAACTGCTTTGAGTTTTATAACAACAACAGTAAAGTAATGAGTAGTAGGCGATCATATTTTATAATCTAGAATTTATAGTCTAGGTTTCTAAATTACAGCAGGCTCAAGCACAGCTCTAAGAGCAGTGGTTTTGTTTCCCTCTCAATAGTAGTACCTCTAGTCTAGGTACTCAAATTAGGTTAGGCATCCCTTGAGCAGCACTTAAGATGGGCCAGTGTTAATAACCTCGATATATAGGGCCTGCATGGATACTGAGGCTTAGAGGTTCAAGGATACCAAAAGGGATATGGCTGAGCTGAGAACTGAAGGAGAAAATTTCAGCTCATGGTTTATGTTCTTAACCATTAGCCTACACTGTCTGACTTAAAATTCTTTTAACTGGAGATCAATGTTCCCTCTAAGCTGTGGAGTCTTATGAGCAAAAACTCTACTTTGTGAGCTACTGGCATTAAAGTTGTGAGTGAGCAATTTGGCTACTGCATAAGTTAGTTTGCTCTGGATCCATCCTTCCTGAGCTAAGACAAAAATGTGTGAGCCGGAGGCTAAAAAACTGTGAGCTAGCTCACACTTACTCAGCTTAGAGGGAACATTGCTGGAGATGCTGGGGATTGAACCTGGGATCTTTTGCATGCCGGAAGAGTTTTGCCGGAGAAGTGGATCAGGAGTGGGGTGGACGGGGTGGAGGAAAGACTGTTCTTACCATAAATCTACAGGAGAGCTGCAGCTTCTAGAAAGTGGTCACTTTTCCTGCTTCCAGTCTGTTCCATATGTATCATTTAAACCTCTCGCTTCTTCGTTTTGCAATATCTTCTCGAAGCAACCATTGAGGGACCATTGACTTGTTAGCTCTTGACTTGTTTAATCTAGACCTGGGGAGATTTTGAAATTGAAGGGGAAAAATTACAGGAGCAAGCTATCAGAACAGGGTAGCCATCTATGGATGACCAAATAAAGAAAAAAGACAAAAAAGACAAAAAAGACAAGAGCTTTGAAAAACAGGACAAAAAGGGGTGGGGAGCACAACATTAGCTTATGGTAATATGTATTCAAAGATACAAATATACACATACTTACTAGAATTTAATTGCTAAAGTTATTTTTCAGACTAAAGTGGAAAATCCAGTCCAAAGCTGGCTAAACATGTAATGAACAGACTGGCATAAAAGACGCTAGATATATTCAACCACCATGTCAATCCGGAGGCTCTCGTCAGCAATCACTTTATAACGATCAAAATAACTTCATGTATCTTAATAATCACAATTACTTCATGGATGTTTATTAATTGTATTTATTGTCACTATAATGTTATTTACAGTTACACTTTGAGAGTTATTTTTCAGCCTTCAGAATTTTATATTTTAATGAACATACCTCCTTATTATTGCTTCTGCAAAACCTAATCCTAGACTCTTCACAGTTTCTTATCGTTTTTAAAAAGGTATCACCAAAGTGTTTTAGTGTATAAATAAATATGGGGGTAACCCTAGTAGTACCCTGACTTGGATGGCCTAGGCGAGCCTGATCGCTTTTGATCTCGGAAGCTAAGTAGGGTCGGCCCTGGTTAGTGGTTGGATGGGAGACCACCAAAGAAGCCTTGGGATGCGATGCAGATTTGACAGCAAAACAAACAAAAAACCTTGCTGTCATCCTAACTAAAAGCTATCCCTCACCTAAACAAGGTTTTGTACATCTACCAAGAGGCAAAATACTAGAAGAGAAAAGAGATTGGATTAATACCCTGCCCTTCACTACCCAAAGAAGTCTCAGAGAGGCTTACTATTCCCTTCCCCTCTCCACAAAAGACACCCTGTGAGGTAGGTGGGGCTGAGAGAGCTCTTTCGGGGACTGCTCATGAGAGCAGCTCTGAAAGAACTTGTCACTGACCCAAGGTCACACTAGCAGCTGCATGTGAAGGAGTGAGGAATCAAACCCGGTTCTCCCAGATTAGAGTCTGGGCTCCTTAACCATAAACTGGCTCTCCATGGAATTGAGGTGCCTCAATGGAATTTCTAGGTGCTGTGGGGCCCGGGCACCTTGGATTTGTCCAGCCCTGATTTCAATAGGAAATCAACTCATGATAGTGCCAGTTCTGCCTAAGGCAAAGCTCCGCTCCTGGAGTGATAGCCTGTAACTCAAGTTACAAAAAGATTCTGAAGCATCCCATCCCTTGCCTGCCCACATGTCAGCCAGCTTTACCGGACAGAAGCAGAACCTGAACATTTCGGAAGACGGTCCTTAAAGAGAAAAGAAAGGACCATGCTCTGAAGAAAAGACCCTCCCCCTATATCATAATCTTATTACAAGACAGTTGACACCTTCCCTGTATAATTGTAGCTGTTTACCATAAAATAATTTGTTTGGTTTCATTTCTAAGTATATGTATACAAGAGGGGGACCCGCGATACTCGCGGGGGGGGAGAAGAGCTCCATCTCCTCCACCCCCCCACCCCCTGCTCGATCTCCCCGAGGTGGCGGCGGCGGCGGTGAGGCCGGTCCTCCCCCCCGCCCGCCCGGCTCTAAGGCGGCGGCGAGGCCAGTCCTTCCCCCCCATTTGCTGGGCTCGGCGGCGGCGAGGCTGGTCCTCCCCCCGCCCGGCTCCAAGGCGGCGGCGGAGAGGCCGGTCCTTTCCCCCCCTTTGCTTGGCTCAGCGGTGTTGCCGTCTCCGAGGGGCGGCGGCAGCGTTCGCAGAGCTTAAACATCCCCCCGAAAATTTTTTTAACTTTTTTAATTTTTGTGCACATGTGGGGAGGGTCTGGGGGGAAAGGCCCAATATAGGGTGAGATGGCGGTGCTATTAAGGGAAGCACTGGGGTGGGACTTGAAGGACAGGTGGAGGTTGCTTGAGGAGCAGCAGCAAGGAAGGTCTTCCAGGCCTATAGGGGGCGGAATGGCAAGTGCAAATCCAGAATGCCTGTACGCAGACCTACTTGAATGTCTTTATTTTGCTTGGTTTTTTATTAGGTATTCTTTCTCTCTGTCTTTTTTTCCTACCAGTAAAATACATGCGAGAAGCCACCCCTTACGTGAAGAAAGGTTCTCCGGTTTCAGAAATTGGGTGGGAGACTCCCCCACCAGAATCCCCCCGGTTGGGAAATGCGTCCAGCGATCCCCTCTCGCAGGTTTCTCTCTCCATCCACAGAGACAAGAAAACGATCCCGCTCAAAATGTGCTACGTTACACGGAACATGGCTGCCTCTGACCTGGAAAACAGGTAAGGCTCATTGTGAGATTGTGTGTGTGTGTCTGAGAGAGAGAGAGAAAGAGAGAGAGAATTTGTCATCTTAATGCCTCTCATATGCTAATTTTCTTAGTTGTATACATTCATATGCAGAGATGGCTGACAAGTAACCCCTGGGCTGCATCTGCCCACGACCTAGGGCTCCCCCCCCCTCCAGTTCCCAGGACTACATTTTCTGGCAGAGGCCTTTTTTTGTATTTTGTTTTTGTATTTTGTGTGTCCCTGTGTGTCCATGCCTGGAAGTAGGGCTGCCAAATGCAGCCGGGGGGCGGGGATTCCCCCACTTCGGAGCCCCGATTTCCGGCGCGCCGGAATCGGGGCCCGGGGAAAACCCCACCCCCGCGTGCGTGTCACCCGGAAGTGATGTCGCACGCTGGAGGCGGGGCCACGCCGTTTGAGGGGAAAACATCACCGCACAGCTCCCGGACCGGCAAGGGGATCCCCCGACAAAAGGTAATTTGGATTTGGCAACCCTACCTGGAAGTCATGGTGACTTCCGGCAACTCCTATGGAGGCTTGATAGCCCGCCTCTGCCGCCCCAGCCCTGGTATTCTTTGGAGTTCTCCCATCCAAATACCTGCCAGGGTCGGCCCTGCTTAGCTTCTGAGATCTGACGAGATCTGACTTGCCTGGGCTATCCAGGTCAGGACGCCTCTGGGTTTTCTTGATAGGAGGAGTACTTGCCACTTTTGTTGGTCTGGGATGAGTGGATTTTTGTCCAGGCAAGTGACTTGGTGGGGAACAGCTGTGGAATGACTTTCCCCTGGGTTTCAAAGTTGCAACGGTTAGTTTTTCAAAGATCTTGCAAGATATTACTATACCAGCAATTGTTTTTTTTTCAATATCTGCTCAAGCTCTGTCAACCAAGCTGAGTGAGGTGGCCGGTGTTCTGCTTGGAAGAGGGTTTTCTTTTTGGCTCTTTGACTTGGTGTTTGTGTAGATTTCGTTTATTTTAGTATTTTGTCCTGTCGTTTTTATTAGCCGTTTAGTCTTTCTTTCCCAAACGTGGCTAACAAAAAACCAAACAAAAAAAATGTATGCAATTTAAAATTTAAAAATGTGCTGGTGGTAGGGGCTGTCCAGTCACCGCTGACTTTTGGTGACCCCGTACGTTTTTCAAGGCAAGAGCCAAACAGAGGTGGATTGCCATTACCTGCCTCTGCGGAGCAACCTTGGACTTCCATCCAAGTCCCAAGTTACTCAAGCGGAGGTTGGACAACCATCTTTTGGGTATGTTGTAGGCAGGGGTCATTTTGTAGAAAAGGAGGTGCAGGAGCTCATTAGCATAACTTATTTGCATATGCCACACCCCCTGACATCACTGAAAGTGTGTCAGAAGGCAACACCCACGGCTCAGGCTCCTCTAGACTGTTTTGGATTGCTAGCTATTGGGGGGGGGGTGCAGATCTGCCCTCACAGGGGAGGGAGAGCTTGTACCTGAAAGGGGGGGGCTCTGCAACTTACCTGGCTGCTTCTTGCTCCTGTGGCCTGACTGAGGGCTGCTGAGAGCAGGGGGCGTGGCTTGTTGCATGTGCCCACCCCCTAAGCTCCTTACTGCCGGAGCTCTGCTCCTGTGCGCTCCCGCAGGAAATGACCCCTGGTTGTAGAGCTACTTTTCGGCTGTGCTCCTGTAGACTGCAGGGGGTTGGACTACATGACCTGCAAGATCCCTTCCAACTCTAACATTCTATGATTCTATGATTCTAAGGGCCGGCCCTGCTTAGCTTCTGAGATCTGATGTGATCGGGCTAGCCTCGGCCATCTAGTCCAGGGTGGTGACCCCGTAGGTGTTCTACGATTGCCTGCCTCTGCATACCAACCTTGTACTTCCTTGGTTTGTCTCCTATCCGAGATACGAACCGGAGCCAACCAGTGTCCCCTCTAAGCTGTGCACGTGGGCGGCCACTCATTAACACAGGAAGCCCCGCTCAGCAGCAGTCCGGAGCCGCGCAGGGTCTTGCACTGTCCATTGCTCATTTTAAGATTACAGCAGTTATATTCTGCTCAGGATGTGAATGAGCAGGGGGGGACTCCATAGGGGGGGGGGGAAATCGGGGGGAACATTGGAGCCAACCTTACTTAGCTTCTGAGAACCTGGCAAGATTGGGCTCGCCTGGGCCACCTAGGTCAGAGGCAAATAAAAAAATCGTCAGAGAACAAAATGCAGTTTAAGTAAAACAAAAACAAGCAAAGTAGCGGAAAAGGTATACAGGACATCCTGGTCTGGCTTTGAAGCCTCCATCAAGGCTACAGACTGTGGGCCAAGAACTCTTTAGCTCTGTCTTGCCGATCAGCTCACGCCCAAGGGCTTAGGCTTCATGGGCACACCCAGGTCTTAAATACCTGCAACGGGAGGAAGACACACGCTCAGCCTGGAAGTTACCAGCCGCCGGCAGCCATCTTTCCACAGACCTCCACCCATCCACAGTGGAAAAGAATGAGTTTAGATGGTTTATCCATTATGCATTGCTTTGCGCTTAGGGAAAAGCAAGTCATAAATGTTTTTTTAAAAGCATCCAGTGACATCCTAGGTCAGAGCCCTAAAGCAGTTTATTGTCCCCATAATCTGGAGAGGTGGTCAGGGGCCACCCTTTGGTAGTAGTCTCGACGTTAGTGTGCTGGTTTTATAAGGCTAATTTATTGTTTTAGCCTGTCAGTTACTGTTTATTTGCTTCTGCTGTGTTAATGTTGTGGGCTCCCCGGGTGCTATTGCAGCAGAAAGTTGAGGCAGGAATTCCTTGAATCAGTGAATGAATCGGTGTGCCCAGGGAAAGGGGTGAGGCAGGCTGCAAGAAGACAGAGAGGTCAGCCTCTCTCCTCCATTTGCACCTGCATTGCTTTTGAAATCTCTTTTCTCTGTGATTCCGGCAGTTCTGTGACCATTTCCGCAGTAGTGCAATTCCCCACAATGACATTTTAAAAACTGCATATTATGTGAAAATTTCTGCAGTATTTCCCCCCACCAGGTGCAGACCCAACGTTTTCTCCTTCTTAACTCTGCGTTTTCAGACCTCGCTAAAATTGGGGATTCCAAAAACACGGGGTAAGAAAGAGAAAACTTCTGGTCTGCCCCTGGTGAGGAAAAATCTACTGTGGAAAGTTTCACATAATGTGCAGTTTTCAAAATGTCAAAGTGGGGAATTTCACTGCTACGGAAATGGTCTTAGTTTAACCTCATGGATTGGCTACCGTTACTCAGCTCCTTAGCAGCTACAGAAAAGTGGTAATATCTCTTTACCATGTCTGTATAGCAGCTGCGGTGGCTCAAGTGGTTAAGACGCTGAACTGCAGGCTGTGGAAGGTCGGTAGTTCAGCAGTTCGAGACCCGGGTGCTGCATGACGGAGTGAGCTCCCGTCTCTAGTTCCAGCTCCTGCCAACCTAGCAGTTCAAAAGCAAGAAATTGCAAGTAGATAAATAGGTACCACTTCATTGGGAAGGTAACAGTGTTCCGTCCACCTTGACGTCTAGTCATGCCGGCCATATGACCACGGAAACGTCTCTGGACAGCGCTGACTCTTCGGCTTGGAAACGGAGAAATCCCTAGAGTCGGATTTGACTGGCTTTTGAGCAAGGGAAACCTTTACCTTTACCTTTTACTCCGTCCATAAGTGGACAAATGGCAAGCTTAATGGGAATAGATGATCACATTGGTTTTTTTTATTACTAAAATGTTTCATGAATTTGCTGATTCTCATGTATGTTTCAGGCACTTGGAGTATGTATGTTCCCATTGCTAGCTTTTAGTATCGATTTCATATTTTCAGAGCATCTGTGGATAATCTGTGGATCAATGGCAATTGCGTCCGCTTAGTATCTGAAAGGTATACAGAAATCATCTCTAATATTATGAGCCCTTAACACTTAAAGGAGAAGATCTGATTATTATGGCTTAAGTAGGGTTACAAGATGTCCTCTTTTTAGAGGACATGTCCTCGGTTTTTGATGTCCGTCCACTTTGGGGCTGTTTTTAAAAAACTGATGAAAATGTCCTCTTTTGGGGCTGGAAGGTTAGGAATATTCCTAGTTAGTAGCAATGATCACAGCTTAAATAGTAGGGGTATTTAAAAATGAGATTCATCACAGTGATCACTTGTATGAGGTAGTCAAGTTGGGAAATATGTTCCCTTTTTTGCTTTTCAAACGATGGTAACTAATGTTCCCTCTAAGCTGTGGAGTCTTGTGAGCAAAAATTCCACTTTATGAGCTACTGGCATTAAAGTTGTGAGCAAGTGATTTGGGTACTGCATAAATTAGTTTGCTCTAAAGCCATCCTTACTGAGCTAAGACAAAAATGTGTGAGCCAGAGGCTAAAAAACTGTGAGCTAGCTCACACGAGCTCAGCTTAGAGGGAACACTGGTGGTTACCCTGGATTTAAGTGAATTAGTTTAAAATAATTCACCATATTACTTTAATTGGGTACAAATCATCATGTAGTCATGCTTAAAATACCCCTTCTGTTCAAGAGCTTTCTATAAATACTTCCAGACACAACCAGTTTGGCACGTTTGGGGCTCAAATTGAAAAACGTGTAAGCAAAGACACCTTCTAAAAATATGTATAGTCTTGTCATAGCAAAGTGGCATTCGGGGTGACTAAGGCCTGCTTCAAACATTGCTGCTTTCTTTCGCAGTTAGTATTGCTACGTAGGAAAAAGTATGCAAACCATGATTCACCCACACAGTTTACCTCCCAGTGCGCACAATGCGGTGTTGTGTGTTGGCTGAGACTTTCCAGCACGTGTACCTGCAGCTAAATACATGCACCTGCTACCCTCACATGTTGATTTACACATACTATTCATGCATTCTTTACCGAAATCCCAAAAGAATGTGTAGCCACTAAAAATGATATCTGGTAGAGAAAGGCCACCCATAGCTAAATGGTGGATAGAGCTGCATTTTTCCAGATTTCCTACTGTCAGGAACTGTTTCCAATGTTGACAGATGAAGACGGGTATCCGTGTTAGTCTGT